TTTCTGTTGATGGAAAGGTAGTATTTGGCTTCTCGGAATTAAGACTGTCCTTTTTAGCATTACTGCTTCCCGCTCATTTACCACCATCAGCATTTTACGAGTGACCGCTCTGCTCTGCTCATCGCACTTGTTACCTTTGCTCGGCCTTAACCAGTGAGCGCTAAAATAGCATTTAGGATTGGAATAAAATCGAACAAATAGCCCTGCGAAACGAGCTAACGGGAAATTTCATAAAATTACATCAAAACTCTTCTACAGTCACATTGTCTCCCTACTCCCGCATGCTATCGCGCAATATATTTTTCTGATTGGCGGCCGCAAAGAACCCGCCAATCAGAGGAGCCTGACAGCACGCCGATGAACGCAAGCATAAACGCAACGCTAGTGTTCGTTCAAAATGGGCTGGAGTGTTTGTTATTGCTTGTAGAACTGGTCCTAGATAGATTTATTTATATACATAGATGTATTTACGTATTTCGCCTGTATTTGTTTGAAATCGACTTTACTAAAGGACAGTTGTTTATTTACACCCCATATCGTGTGACTCACCGAAAACTTCATGTGATCTTACGTGGCTCCCACGATTTGAACGAGATCTATCGCTTTGAGCCAGTTCTAGTATTACACTATTGGCCGAATCAAGCTTAATTTGGGCAATAAAATAGCATTAGATTGTAATCGAATAAGAGTAAGCTGACTAGGAATACCCTAGAACATGGAAGTGATATTCCTGCAGATCAAAATTCTCCAAAAAAAAGTACTGCAAGTTTTTTCTCTTCACACTTAACTACTACTTTACACCCACTACAAATTAAAAAGAAATGAGTTAGTCAGAAAAAGGATATCAGAGTAGGACCACTGAACATGAACTTTTCTTTGAAACTGAAATTGAATATGAATAATTCTTTTACACCCAGATGGAGGGATCACAATATTTTGAGCCACAACCGTCTCGGATTTGCATCTCTCTACCGCCGATTGAATCATCAATGGGATCCAAGAGTTTTACGGAAAACAAGGAGGTACGTCACGTTCATTTCTTTCAATGATCAGTTCAAAAATAATGAATAATAAAATGAAATTAAAAATAAAAACAAAAAATTAATCGAAAAAATTATCAAGCAAATATTACGATCAAATATTAATTGTTCATGTCGGGTGCCTGTTCTTGGTCTGCACCTTGTAGAAAAACAATGTGGACAGATTGGAACAGGCTTAAGAATCCTATACATAGGTTTTTAGAAAAATTGAATTTTCTTCAAAAAACCTGTTCAACCAGACAAGGAAGGGGTAGCTAGAGGTTGGAGGTGGTTTTGATGAAAGTAATAGTTGTAGAATAAGATTAATTCCGATGAGCACTCTTTTTCCTCCTTTGAAAAAGTGGCTTTCTGTAATTGAGCTTATAGAAAGTTTTCATGATTTCATGAATCTTCTGAAAGACTAGTTTGCTCAGAAGCAGGTACCTTCATTTGTAATATCCAACAGTGAGGTCAAATGTGGAAATAACTATTTACCATTAAAAACTAGTTTGCTAAGCCAAAGTTATACGATGTGTAATTACACTAGCAAATACTAGTCGAAAGAAAGTATGAAAAAAGGGGTCAGGAAGTTCTTCTGTACTACCCCGGAATTAGCCAACTTGAATATTTAGAATTTGATTCGAAAGGAAATTCTCACAGCACTTTTAATTCTACCCCAAAAATTCTATTTCCATGGTAAACAAAACAAGATGCGGTTGGCAACTGCCGCCCAGCAACTTTACCGATGAACAACTCCCATCTTACCGTTGTTATAGCAGTCGCTAGGGGTACTGTAGGCAGCTCTTAATGGTCCAATCAAGTATTGATAAATGATCGGCCAATAATGTGTCTCGGAGGAAGTATGCTGTGGGTTAGGGTGAAGCAATGTCATCAAAGTCACTAGTTGGTCGATAAAAGTGGAAATTAATGTTATTTGGGTCTATAGGCCAATGTTCAACACCTATCTTGATTTATAGTGAGCATTTTTGGCGGTGTTATTTTGACAACTGGTTTAGATATTAGTAGCCCAAAAACAGTACACTGTTTTTTAAAAATTGATGTGGACGTCCCCTTAAACAGTGATACACTGTTTTTAGCCGTACTGCAGTAATATACAAGTACGAAACCAGTCAGTTCTAACTATTCAACTGAGTGTTGTCAAGGCATGATTCTAATTGACTCCTGTCGATGTGGTGGTGCCCATCTCGAAACCTGTTTGGCTTGGCAACTAACTTGTTGCGACAACTCCCTAAGGTTAACCCGAATGAGTTTCCGAAGGTTAAGGTAAATGGTTTTGCTAGTTTTGGTTGGTTTTGCTTATAATGTGGACCTCACCAGCACAACTATTGAAGTTATCTGGAAAACTTGAGGCTATAGTTGTAATTAATTGTTCACGGTACCTCTGCCTTACGATTCACTACTGATTCAAGCTTAATTGAATTTAGAAATTGGTTGCGAGAATTTCTTGAAAGTCACGGTTTCCGGCTTGTTCGGCAGTTTGACACGATATTCCTCCCTGATTTGAGCTAGCATAAATTTATTACACCCAACAAACACTTTAGACAATTAGAAAATTTCTTTTTCCATTAGTATTGATTACTGGATTTAAGTATAGTTCATAGTGACAGTTTTTTTCGAAGGATCGCTTCTTCTAGCTTCCATAAATTGATCTCTGACTATGTATAATTGCTCAAATAATCCGTTTTTTGACAATCAGATGAACAAATTCAAAGGTTGGTGCAAAGTAAAGTTTCGGTAGTACCAACTTGGTATTGTACCTGCCGCTTTGACGATAAGAGAGATTAGCTGGTTTCCGTTTCAAAAAAAACACCCTTAATGACAGCATTAGCTTTCGTTTCCTTCACACATTTCCGTTTTTTTTNTTTTTTTTCCCCTTCTGAGCGATTTTTTTCTGGTTGGTTTCCAGTTTTTGCGGTTGTACATAGTGGTCAGGCTAGCTACAGTCCAGCCACATGATCGTTCACACAGTTTGTCATTTTTGAAAGATTCATTCTAATCAAGACGGTTGTTCCCGCAGAAACTGATTCGGGTTTCGATTTCCGGCTCTGATCCCCTTGGAATACTTGTTCTCAAATACTTTAGCGGTTATTAGCTATACATGCCAGCAATCGGTTCAATTTACAATTTCATTGGGCTAGAGGACTATAACATTTTTCATGTGAAAATTTTCGATGAATCGGATGTGAGAAGAGAAGGAACGGGGAAAATAGACCTCCTGGGACCTGAAGTAAAACAAAAAGTCTGGAGTTAAGCCTGTTTAGGAGATCCAAGAATATTATCGCTGCATTAGCGCCTGATTAGGTTACCCAGTAAAGTAAGTTTTCGAGTTAAATGACGAGATCAAGAACTCGTTTTGTACCGTCTTCTAGCCATAAGAGTAAAGATCAGCTTTAATATAGTTTTGTCCACGACGCAATAGAATGTTTGGTGATTGCGCAACGGCCATAAGCGGCTTCCTTCCTCCGCATAGATCGTATGATCGATCCCCGATCACGATATTCTTATCGCTTTTCTATAAGTTCAGCGGCTTTATGACTGATGACAATTCTATGTATTACGAATGTTGAGTAGAACATGCGGAGCAGTATAGAGGAGATCCGGAGGAGGGAGTGAGTAGAAAAAGGATTGGCATGGCTTGGTGCGTGGCGCATCCAAAAAGTGGCTGTCACTGAATATTTAGGTACTGCACAGGCATTTTAGCAATAGCTATGTTATGATGAACTTGAAACCTCCCAGTACTGGTTACTTGCAACCGTGAAGTAAACAATGGCAGTACAGATAAAGCTAATATTTGCGATTCTAAAAATCCAAGCCGATCAGGCAGTGTCCAGCAGCCAGAAACGCGTTTTTCATCTTTTGAAGCTGTCAATTGATGGAAATAATACGCCAGACGATGATGTATGTGAACGCGTTTCGTATCGCCATTTGAGCGCTCCATTGGAATAAATCAAATTTCTGCCACGTTTCGGAATTTTGTGTTTCATTGGGCATGTCTAAAGGGGCATTCAAATGACCGCCACTCCATCAGGTTCACACATCAAACATCGTTGACAATCCTGAAGAAGTGCTAGGTTTTTTTTTCAGAAAACTCTGCATTTCAATAGTCACTGGTGTCTTTGCACCTGCATGTCAATAGCCACATTTGTAAATCACCGGGAAAGCCTTTTTTACAGCCCCGTCTAGTACATATGTAGTGGCTTGGAGGAATAAGAAGTGCCCAATTAGTCATCAGCCATGTTCCAAAGGGGCATTCTCCGACGACTGGGAGATAGTAGGGCTCAGTTGACTATATTAGCGCTTCCCATGTTTGTAGTTGACTTGTTTTCTTTCGTCATTTATTAGAACATTGCTAATTGATGCAAACCACGCGAGAAAACATCGCATAACTCCTCTGCAAAACCGGTTTGTCTCAATGATCTCGAAAACGATGCTGTATTGCATAATAGGGGGAGTTTGGTAGCGTAATGAGAAGCGATTCAGCTACAATAGGCACAGAGGCTTAGTAGCTCAGTTCCTACTTTGGTGAAGCACCCTATGACTCGGTTATTATTGGTCCATTGAGAAATGCGTGGCCTATTTCGAGCCCTATTCAAGATTTTCCCGTCACTGAAAAAAAAAGATGGTTCATAGGTTCAATGTCCCTTCCCAGAAACAGATGCCAGCCAGATTTGGAAGAATTTCGACTATGAGTTCCACAATAAAAAAAATAATACTCAAATCGGATTGGTAACTGTACTCGTTTTGTAAGCTCTTCTAATAAGTAAATTGAGACCAAGAAATCTCAGTTTCTCGGCCCAGTCCTGAAAGCCTAAACTTTTATGGACTCACATTTTCTTCTCGTAAAACAAGATGGGCCGACCAGCCGAACGTGACTGAACCAGTTAGGCATTAATGACATGGAACAGAAACAGCCTACTACATTGATAAATGACATTGTATAGTTCGTCTTCAACCCGGCCAATGAGGAATGGACCTCACCAGGTCAAGCTCCACCTCCGACTTACTTCTCGCCCACCTTCACTACCCCTATTTTAATCGGTAATATGTAGATGAGGTAGAAATGTTCGATTCATTTAAATCGGCTATAATATTTTTTCCAGATTTCATTTGAAACTGCTAACATTTCAATAGCTATTTTCAGACGGAATCCTTTTCCTTTTAGCTCTGCTACATCGACAGTTCACTAGGTGACAGCCCATCGTCGCTATCCTCCACCTCACTAGAAGACGCCATAGCACCACATTCCGAACGAGATCAAGTTCGAAGTTCAGGTCAAACACGCCGAACACTTGAAGGATCGCATTTTTATGACTAGTAGACCGTTACTAGTACATAAAACAATTAGTTAGATTTTATTAAACAATTCCAGGTCGAAATCAACTTGGGCGAACTTATAGTCCTGGTCTACCGTTGTCAATGTGCGAAAGGGAAGAAATCGTGAAGCTGTTTCAGGTAAGTGGAGTAATTGCTGGGAGGGGAAGTGCCTCACTCTGGGAATGTCATGGAACCATAAGATTCACAGTAGCTTCACAGCGGTTCAATGTTTTTGACACTAACATCGACTTAGTGTTTGTCGCTGTCATACAAATCCCATTCGACTAGTTAATCAAGCTTACTGGTAACGCGGTGAAGCCTTTGTAAGCATTCTGCAACTGTCCACCATGAGTGCTTGATCGAAAAAAAACTCCCTTTCTGTCCGATAACAATTCAGAAGAAGGGTCCATTCGTAAAGATGCCTCTGATATTCACGGTCTCTGGGACTTCCGGACATGTAAAACTCATTTTTCGTTTGCAGAAAGTCTCTGAGATATCTTAAGTCTGTATTGGTAACTATGTTGTACCAAATTTCAGAGTTGACTCAGGAATAACAGGAATTAAAGCAGTAACATCACATATAGGGTTGGAAAACTGCTCCCCATTTCCACAGTTGAACGTTCTGGTTCTGCCCCCTCTTCACTCATGATCTCCCTCAGTTTCATGTTTTTTTAAGGGATAAACAAAAACAAATGTTAATAATAGTCTCGGTAGTGATCGAAAGTAGTATGTAAAGGGTGAGTACGGCCCTAATTAAGGCCACCTCATTGCATTAATAAGATCGACGAGATTGATCTCTTCTGAACTCTTGAGTCTTTTATTCTGGGGTCACTTTAGTAGGCTAGATATGCGAGATATGAGGAAATTTCCATTGAAAACAAAGACCAACAAGAAGTCTGTGGAAATATGCCAAAAGTACATTATATACATGGCGCACTCTCGAAAAGCCAATGCTCAGGAGATGAAAAATCGAAGCATTCCAAATCATAAGGCCGGCTAGCTTTTGCATTGAAAGTTGGTGCTATGGAGGTGTGAAACCGCGACTTCCCCATTTACCTCACTTTGTCGAGCAACATCGACGTTTGTTTAAGTCAAATACGAGATTTCCAGAGATGGTGTCTACTGATCACAATGAAACTCAAGGAAATCGACCGAACCAGGGTGTTATGAGCCAAACTGGCGGACCTGATGAAACTGATTCAAATCCCTGAGCTTAGCTCATCAATCATAACCAGTCTCTTGTTTCCCTATTCCAAAAAACGCTTCGCACAATAGAAAAACGGGCTAGGGTAATAAATAATGTTCAAGAAATGTTTGCATGGAGACATGGAATGGATAAGGGAAGAACCGATATCCAATTATCTTCTCAGAATCTCTCGAGATCTTGTCACATTAATGCACTCACTTTTGCTTGCAAGTTTTTATCTCTTTCCATATGTATGTTTATCAATTTCGAACACGTTTTTCTGCTTCTTTTTCGGGCACGAAAAAAAGTCGTTTATGTACAAATCGCACGTTCGAAGCCCGGAAGCCACTTTTTGAAACATGGCCCCTCGACACTCAATACTGGTTTCTTCTGAATGCAACTTGACTGTTGACTTGAACCAGATTAAGTGAGTGATAATGGGAGGAACATGTGGGAATGGGTGTGGCTTGTGCGCAAAACTAGGATCTTCACGTCAGTCCTAAGCTTGAACGATCCTACGTGCGAATTGAAACTTATATACGCTCTTCCAAGAGGAGCTAATAACCTTGGCATGGTATTGGTAACTATTTATGTTTACAACCTTGACACCGTAATCCGCAACTTAATCAAATGAATACTTGTGAAAGAGATATCGACGTGTTCCAAACCTAGGAAGAATAGTTCCGGAAGGGGTGTGATGTGGCTGTGCTCTAGTGAAGCACTATGTGGATAGTAGTACGGGATCGTAGGCGGCATCGCAACCACTGCGCGCGGATCTGGGTCGCCGCACGCGGCGTTTGTAACATGGGAATAACGCGTTACCCGCCGCATGTGGCGGCCAACTTGGAATCTTCTGACCCTATCCAAAGTCCAGGAAACTAAGCGCTGAAAGCGTGAAGCGTGAACAGTCACTAATTGTGGACAATGGATAACAATATTCGAACGCAATTCCTGATTGTTTCAGGCTGGATGGAAAATCTGCGATATTTCGAAGCGTCTCTGTGTCACTCATAGCTGTGTGAGCAAGATTTTGAACAGGTAAAAATGGGCTGACAAGCATGCCTGCAAGGTGTAATATAGCTCGCACTTACTCTGTGTTCAGATATCGTCAGACGGGGTCAGTTCGACCAAAGGATGCAAAGGAAGGTCGAACGGAATCACCATTAGTGACAGCGGTCAGAGATTACCGGTAAGGCACTTGAGCTGCATATGGTACATTTTGCTCAAAATTGTCTGAAATGCACATATTCGTGAATTAAGAGGAATTCCGTTGCCATATTGCATATTAATTATTTTGCGCCAGTGTAACAGACTGACGCACTGCTGCTACTAGCATGGCTGCGGTTGCGCAAGTGAGGTAGGTTGACGCGAATCTTTTGGAGCGCTTGTCGATTTATCTGATTGAGCAGTTGACTTGGTCAAGTTGTCGCTGTATGTCGCTTCCAACAAACTGTTCGACTTTATAGCGCTATTCATCTGAAAAGTAGAACCCCAACGAACTCTTCCAAACGCACGAACGCGCAAACATACATTACGGTGGATTGCGCGGTGTTTTTTCTGAGGGGGTAACGTTGGATGACAATAAATTTATTACAGTGCACATTCAATCAGTAATTATAAATAGGTGTGGCAGGAAGTATATTGAGCGTACACCTTAAAGAACATTCGGCACGCAAATGATGAAAAACCTGCTTAGTGCGCTTGGTAAACAGAGGCGAAAACAACGAGGAATGCCTCTGAACGAAAATATGAAAATCACCACTGCAAGGAGGGCACGGTACTAATTAAATTGACATGTTTTTCAGGTGCACTAATTTCAAGGTTGGTAGGTACGCATAGGAGCAATCTTCCATCCGCTCATTTTTAGTATTGAGGCGGGGCTGGAAATCTTGGCACGCCTCTGATTGGTGGGTTGTCGAGCTGCACGACCACTTCGCTGAAACCATAGGGTCATCATGCGCCATGCTCTGAGTATCCATTGCTCTTGACCCACTTATGGCAACTTCATAATTATGGAAATCATAGGAATTCCTTCTAAATGCATTGTGCAAACGAATATGCTGATAGAGCGACATTTCTTGTTTCCGATCCACGATACCCACTTGTTTACTGTTGTTTCCAACAGGAAGTTTTTCACTAGGTTAGCAGGGTAACCCATAGGAATGTCAGTTCCTCGTGGTGTTTGACGCACACGCTGCCGCTCGCCGCACGCGACAAATTCGCGCTGTCATTTAACATCGCAAATTCTTGCCTAAGTCACGAATTCATGACAGAATTGACGCGTTGAAGAAAAATATCAATTTCGACGTGATAAAAAACAATATGTGTCAAAGAATTGAAAAATGTGTCATGAATTTAGGACACGTCTTGGAATGAGCCGACAGGGTGAAATTCGTGAACAGCTCATCAAGGACGGAATCTGCACTAGAGAGACCGCTCCCAGTCGATCATCTATAAATCAGTAAGTAAAATATTTAGTGAAAAAGTATTCCAAACAATGAAATGTTTTGTAAAAAATTTGGATTCACATGAAAAAGAGGATCAGGCGAATCAGTGGTGACGCTTTTTATCGTTGAGGACAAGGCTCAGTAGCGTAGCTAGTATGCCGCTGATTGGTGAATTCGGTGAAGCCAATAAGAACCACTGGACACTAGGTAAATCAATCATTGAAGGCTTAATGCCTACATTTCGGTGGTCATTTTTCAATTCTGCCCTCCTTCGCCAACTTTTGTACTTTATAAGGTTTCCCTGAGTTTCGTACCTGAATAACAAGACGAGCGTCTTCACCTAACCCTTGGAGTTTTTTGGTAATGTTCTGCCCCCAGAACTTTTCGAACGAATCCTCAAATGCCTGGAAGACTTTTTCGAAGTGCCTTAATTAATGAAGTAGGCCAATGCCAGAAAAAATTGATCTGACGATGCGATTGAATTTGCGAGAATTGCTGGTGATTTCTCGGTAGAGTTCTTTGAAAAACATCCAATCCTTTCCAGCATACTTCGAACGAAACTGGATATCAAACGACGAAAAAAGACTGATTGAATTGTACGGAACAGTTTGCGAAGGTTTCCCGAAAACTCTCTCAATTCTTGAGCGGATCATCATCACCCCATGGAAGACATTTTATGGAAATGTTATATGTATGCGTTCGCGCGCGCGCACGTGCACATGTACGTGCACGTTCACATCACAGCTCGTACATAAGCGCATTGATATCTCGCAAAAAAGACTCGTATTCATTGCCACAAAAATTATTACTATATACAATAAGCATCTAAAAGGCAAATGTTTTCTCCAGCTACGATTTTTGTAAAAAAAAATTTATAAGAGTTGATTTTCCAAGTATGAAGTTATGTTTACACTACACGGTACGCGATACTATGTTGGTCATCGTTCTCATCGATTTGCGGTCGCTTTAATGATCTCGTGTCTATTCGTCTTCCTCTGTTTGCCTCAGCATTACTACATTCGCCTATATAGTTGTCAAAATACCGTATGCCTTTCGTTGCCTCGTTTCACTCAATGTGTGTCTTTCAAATTGAAAAACATTGTGATATACATTTCTATTCAACTTTTTTCTCAAATGTTGATTACTTGTTACTTTATCGTCATGATATTCCTTAGTTTTAGTGTGATAGCAGTGAATAGAGCATTATTATGAAACAATCATGCAATATATTATTGTACGTACATATATTTATGTACTGAATAAATCTTGATCGCCAGTGTTCATTATAGGTGACTAATTTTATAAACATGTTAAAAAAAGGGCGGAGGTGGTGTAGTGGCAAGTAGCGCGCTATCACACACACATGGTCCGGGGATGGAGTCCCGGATTGATTTCCGCCTAGACCAACCAAGTCTTCCATCTCTCCCGAGTCAGTTTAACTGGTAGCAGACTCGTCTGGAAGGGCTTGTACATCGGCTGGCCACAGCAATTCATTGCATAGGCGACATATGCATTCAACACGCCACAATGATTCTTGATTGGGGTCGAATACGGGGCGCATCCCCAAGACGGCATTGATTAGGCCCGAGATCTTATCCTTTATTCTCTATTATTCATGGAAAAACTTTAGCAATTTTTGACACTGTGTCCTATGGTGGTCCGATTTCCGGAGTAATTACTTACTAGTTTGTATAAGTCGATAATTGACGGTCTCAATGGTGAACGTATTTGCACTTGTAATGTATTCAGTGAGTTTTTTTATCGGGGACCGGATTGAAACCGTACATATGTAGGTTAAAGAGTCGATTTAGGTCAACTGCGATAGTGAATAGAGAGAGTGGCCATATAAGAGCGATCCTATCATTGCGACGTCAACGGGAACACCTCCCCTTCTCAGCGGGATACTTCCCTCGTCTCCGCCGTTACCTACGAAACAATTGGATCCATTCCAGCCTTTCTATACTTGTCGTTTCACTCCCCGTCTTCACATTTAACCACTTTTTTCCCTAAATCACCCTTTATTCCAGGATGGAGCCATCTGAGGGACGGAAATCCCTCCGTACGTTGGCATTCGCCTCCGTAGCACTGGCCACTATGAGCGTTCTGTCTTGCATTATCAGTCTCCCCCTCGTCTACAATCATGTCCAATCCATCCAGTCTTATATGCAGAATGAGGTCGACTTCTGTAAGGTGAGAACTGGTACCCTTACTCGTTTCGTAATCCTTTCTCCCGATACCAGTAGTTAATATGATGTTGAAATGAATTTTTTAGACTCGCTCTAGAGAAATGTGGCGAGAAATGGTGACCGTGCAGTTCACAACAACTGGTAAGGTGAACCCTCGAGCCAAAAGAGAAGCCTACGAGGCCCAGCCAGTGGATACTCATTCAAATCCGTCATCCGTCGCTGGGTCCTGCTGCACCTGCCAAGTACTTCATATTTCCAGAACTTATTCGAAATTACTCGCAGCCTGCTCTCAAAATTCATCTCATTAAGGTTGGTCCTCCAGGGCCTCCAGGACCTCCTGGACGAGACGGAAGACCAGGTGCCCCAGGAAGACCTGGAAATCCTGGCCCACCAGGCAGAGATGGATCCCTTCTACCAGGACCACCACCGAAACCCCCATGTCAGAAATGTCCACCTGGACCACCTGGCCCTCCAGGTTTGTTTCGGAGCTTCGTCATTACCAAAAGGCACGCTAGTCCTACATATTCATTTTCAGGACCGCCTGGACCAAAGGGTCTTCCAGGACCGCAAGGAGATCCCGGTACGCCTGGACGTGATGGAATCCCTGGACTTCCTGGACCTCCTGGCCCACCAGGTCCTCAGGGACCTCCTGGTGTCCCCGGAGAGAAGGGACCACCAGGTGAACCTGGAAAAGTTATTAATGGTGCGCCACCCGGTCCTCCCGGCCCACCAGGACCTCCTGGACCGCAAGGACCACCAGGACCACCCGGAAAGGACGGACAAGCTGGAAGACCAGGACCACCTGGTCCGCCTGGAGATCCTGGAGAGAAGGTATCGTTCCTGACTTCATATTTTACGAGTTTTTGTATTGACACCTACATGCAGCTGTCACTGAATCACTTCCTTTATCTAGGGTGCCGATGGATTACCTGGGCCTCATGGACCTCCCGGGCCCCGAGGACCACCAGGACAACCAGGTTCCTGCGATCATTGTCCTCCTCCGCGAACTGGACCAGGATATGGTCGTCTTTAAAAGTAAATTATGTGGTAGCACTTTAGATAAAAGTTTTTCCGATAGGTTCACCTTAGTTCCTTGTGAGGCATGATACAAAGAGTCCAATATTATAGTACTATATTAGAAAAATCTCGTAATTTACGTCAAAGTATCATAGTTCAAGTCGAGATTACTGAAGAAGAGCGAAAGCAGTGATTACTTTCAATACTTTTTGGTAAGGATCAAGTGGCTCTGAATTGTTGATAATGAATCTCGTTTCGAAGACGATTTCGGGGCGAACTAGGTAAACTGAAGGCAAAAAAGTTTTCAGTTTCATAATTGCGCCCAAAATCTGTGCCTATTCTTTTACTTGTTTACTTTAAACCACAGTTTGGAACGAAGGGGCCTGCGCAACCGATGGGCCTAGGTGAACAAAGTGCTATTCTTGCCTTTTGGTTTCTGACCCTTTGCAGTAAGAATGGGCATGTTTTGTCCCTTTTGCAAAATCAAATTAATTAATCCCATTCGGCGTGATCGATTTGCTTCCGTCCCTTCTCCTCCCCTTAGCCCTTTTGATCAATTGTCGCCGCCAACCGCCTTGATTTTGTTCAAGAAAAACAATCCGAAGTAGATGACACCCACGAGATACCGTAAAAGTAAAGTGACTTATTTTTTGTTACTCAAGTAAAATAACTGTCACGCTGCAATCCCTAGGTCCGTGTCAATCGGGAGCTTTACTTCACCTTCTCAAGTTACTTGTGGTTTCGATTGTGCAAATGAACGATTTCTTGGGAATTTCGCAAAAAATGACCTGCACTCTGTATCAACTCTCCTTAACTTACTCGCATACAATGTATATAAGGTAGATTCTGACACAGAACATTCCAAGTCAGCAGAAAAAATATTAATAAAAAATTCAGTAATCAAACAAAAATATTCGTTATTCAGTTGTTTTTTCATACTCCCTTAAATTCAAAAGAGTAATGATGAAAGGTTGCATGAGCACCTACTACAGCTGGGTGGCGGTTATTGTACCCGAATTCCCACGGTAAACGGCGATGATTTCGCGGTAACTACCGTAATCCTTCAATGAAAATTCAAATTTCCCCTCCGCAGAGCGCGATTGGGTGCGGCGAGTGCGGCACGTCATTCGGGTACAACAACCCACCACCACCTCAGCAACATCGCCGAGAGCATCAAAATTCTTTTTTCAGCAGGGAAACCATATTTGTGTAGAAGCGATTTTCCCTTTTGGATAAACCTATATAGCACAACTGAGAAGGACTGTGGCGCAGTTCTGACTGGAGCAGCATTACGTGATTTATAATAGTTTGAAAAGTTATGAAATCCTGATACTGTCCTAAGAAAGCTCTCCACCCCTTACTCAACAGAAGCCTTTATTTCACTACAAAACTCACATGATTCCATCCAATACACAAGAAAACAACGACAAGCTCAATCATATAATATTTGGCTTACAAAAAACAGAAATACCATTAAACTCACAAGAAAAACAATTCAAAGCCATTACAAGTAACATTCCCAGAAATAGAGATAATATCCCGTATAACTTTAAACCCTTTGAAGAGCTGAATGAAAATGATGAAATTCTTGTGTGATGCTGTCTGTGGCTGGTCTTGGGTGAATGAAGGAGATTATTCAGAATTTCTCACGCTTCTTTTTCTCATCTTCACTGCTGTCATCGTCGGCGTCGTAGCTCCTGCGAGACGACCTTTTCATCCTGTTGGCGTACTGTCCTCCATAACTTGTGCCACCATTATCGGAATACTCGTCCCTATCCTGCCTGTCCCGGCCATATCCGCCACGATCAGCATCGTAGCTCTCGCGATATTCATCATCATTCTAAAAATCCATTAAAGTAACTTTTAAGTATCGTAGTCATTGCGAGACCTCTTTCTCACCCTGGCGCTGTACAGTCCGTCATAACCACTATCAAGATTTTTGAGATACTCGTCCCTATCCTGCTTGTCCCTGCCATATCCGCCACGATCAGCATCGAAGGTCTCGCGGTATTCATCACGGACCTAAAAAAACAAACAAAATTAAGTTTCAAAATGATTTAGGTTTGGGTAAACTACCTGTCCACCGTGTTTTCCACGCCCGTATTGACGTCCTTCCTTAAATCCCGCATCGAAATCAACCCTAATTACGCGCCCATCCAGTGTAGTGCGATTCAGGAAACGTACAGCATTTTCGGCTTCATCACGAGTATAATACCTGAGTAACAAATGTAAAAAAAGGATGAATTCTTTGTCAAATACACAACTGTCAGGAGAGGTGGGCGGAGTGGAGCGAGCAACCGCTGACGAGCATCACGCGCCTCCCATTGGCGGGTTGTTAATAGCCACCAATCAATATGAACTCATGCACGCTTCGCTCTTCAGATCACTCCTATTAGTAATCAATAAAGAATTGGCAGGACCTGTGGTGCAGAAACTCATTTCTGAACATTTGGCATGCAAAGGAAACCTAAATCAATGTAAAAGCTCTCACACGACGAAGCAGAAACCGCATGGAGTTTTCCTGTAGCGATCGAGACCCATGATAACACGCCTGACATCCCCAGCACGGGTGAACAATTCAAAAATCTGCAAAAGTAAAAGCCATAACTCGTCAGAAGATGGCCTACCGAATCAGTTAAACTACAAAATTAAAGAGGAACCTGATCTTCAGTGGTGTAAAATGACAAGTTTCCTACATAGACAGTAGTCGATGTACGAAGAGCATGCTCCAGTTCTTTTCTGGTACCCTTAAAATTGAAAATGAAACAGGAGATCAACAAGATTCCCGGAAACTCCAAAAACAAATCGATAAGTGTGCCACCCAAGACAAAAACGTACCTGGAAACGATTGTCACGGTACGAATTTTCAGTATCATCATGCACTTCAGGATGACGAATCGAGAACACTTCTGAAAGGTGGTGAAGAAAATACTTCATACGACTACACCCTCTTCATACTTGTCAGGATGAAGAGGGTGTGATCGTATGAAGTAATTTCTACATCTCATTTATCACAAAGAAGTGATCCGTGGTGCTATACTAGTACTAGATCGACAAGTATGTGCGCTTCTCGCCAATTCTGCCCGACACCAATTCAAAGGCAATCAGTGACAAAAAGTTCTGTCTCCACTTCAGGAATTATTCTACTGGCTCAGAAAAAGTGGAATAAGAAGAGCACGAAGTGTGTCATCGGCATTATGTAGTAAAGTCATACTAAAGATGAACCCACTCTGTCTGGCCGCAAGTTGCGCACGCTTTTTGTCATTAAACGGATCCATCGCAAAAGCTTTTATTTACCTGAAAAAAAAANAAAAAAAACAAACGACCATAAAAGAAAAAGAAAACAAAAGCAGCCACCCAGAACCACCACCGATGCCAGCGTATGCCAACGCGGGGACAGAGTTGGAATAGACGTCCAGCGTAGTGTAGCCTGCGAAGACGCAATTTTGCACAGCTCTGCTTAAAAATGCCCGTTACACATCGCATATCGACTACAAATCCTTCAATTCCCATTATTCTTTTGGAATTTTTGTTCTGAAGTAGCGTCAATCTCGTACTCTGGGTCCCAACCAATCATAGGTCGATTAGTGCAGCTCCTGGGCTGAGATAGTGCCAAGGCACTACCTGATTGGTCACTGCGGGCAAACAGGCAATCAAGCACGGTCCCTGTTCACTTCACTGGCAATAAATGCATCATTTGGAGAAAGAGTTGCTACTTTTTCAATTCTTCAAATCCAGAAACACTCATATTAACTATGGTTTGAAGGACAACTGCCACCAGGGATTGAGCGTGCGCAGGAGATGGGGCAACTTGCAGATGCTGGGCTTGGGGCATTGGGCGATGAGGAATGCCGATAACCAACATAGCATGACAAAAACTAGGATTTTGGATGAATTCCCAGCCCTCACAGTATTTTGGCGATAGGTCCAAGCTTGAACGTCCGATTGCCCCTCTGAATCGATTGGCCCAAATAGTCGCTCGCGGCCGCACGCTTGCTGTCTGGCCATACAAACCGACCTTGATGTGTTAAGTGTTAATCAATTTCAACTTTAGTATGGGACCACTCAAACCTACAACTTAACTGGTAATAATACTTCTCTTACTGCAATGGAATGATAGCGCGGAATGCTGAAGGTTTTCCTTGAGCCTCGAATGTCTTTTAACGCCTATTTCGTTTGAAGGTGATGTAGAGACTTCGCTTCTCCTCCTTTCACACCGTTCATCGTTGGATGTAATTTGAACTCACGCAAATGATCCAATAACTATTACCATAAATCCTTATTTCTCTTCTTCTTAACGTCCCCCTCTGTTCAAACGCCATCTGGCTACAGTGCATTCTTGGACATACACGCATATAATTCCCAATAGACTTAGTGCTGCCAACCTGTTGTCAGTCCCTTCGGCTGTATAGTAACCAGTATTACTGCACTTCTCACATTATACTGGAATACCAGTCAATAACCCTATGACCGTTGATATCGAGCCAAATGACCTCCCGAATCAATCAGTCCACTCACATGCCACTTTCTCTTACACCTTGCTGCTGTTGATGGTTGAACGTTTCATTTCATATTTTAAATCATGCATACACTTTCCTTTAACGCCGTTTTTCAATAAAGAACATATACAGAACTTCTCTCATGCTGTTTCTCCAGTAATTGGAGTTCATTATGCTTTTCTGAGTACGTACTATTTACATTTTGTTTAATGTTTGATGTTGATAACTTTTTTTCATTATACAAACCGTACTCTACCATTATTAGTATTAGTATTCACCGCAAACTGTAATGCGAGCCAAGTGAGCAGTACGTACTATTTACATTTTGTTTAATGTTTGATGTTGATAACTTTTTTTCATTATACAGGCCATACTATACCATTATTAGTATTAGTATTAGCACCGCAAACTGTAATGCGAGCCAAGTGAGCTCTAACGGAGCTCCTCTCATCGGTGGGTTGTGAAGCGGTAAGGCGGTCGACCAATGGCGTCGCCATGTTTCGCAATGCCCTCAGCAAGTAAGGTCGTTGGCATGGCTTGCATTTGACTAACCTCTGATCTTTGTACTCTCTTTT